TTGTTTCTAGACATCATGTATTTTTTATTATTCTTATTGATATGGGTTTGAATTTTGTATATTGGGAAATGGTAGTGCACACGCATTTGTTTAACTAAATTAGAATATTTCTGATTCCACTTTAACATATTTCAAATTTCAGATTATAATTGACAGATTAACTAAATTTTTATTTTCAATTCACATCCTCCATTCTTATTCCTCACAAATCGGAATTGGCATAATCATGTCAATTAAGACAGCGTTTTAAACTCAGATTTTTTATTTTCATTTTCTTTTGCCTGTGTGTTACATATGAACTTGCACCAATTAGTCTTAAATAAAAGAAATTCGGTCTTTTTTTGAAATTACAGAATTTTAACACAATTTGCAACCTAAAGGAATAGAATTTTTACACATAAAATATTCTACATGTAGGTTTTCCTTCAAATTTTAATAGCTATATGAAATTTTCCTCTTACTAATTTAGTATATTAGTAATAATAATTGTTCAAATTACAGATTGGCAAGCAATAGTTTTGATGCTTGGACCAAGAAATGGAAAATAAAAGTAAATGGAACTAAGTCTGCACATGTAAATGTTACAAATAAAGGAAGGAACATGTTAAGAAGAAAAAGGCAGAATTTGAATTAAAATATAAAGAAATGTATTAGCTCCTAGGTCGCAAGTATTGATTCTTGATTTAGAATAAGATCCTGTTCTATAACCAAATTATTAAACCGGTTGGGTTGTATGGTATCCAGTTGTGGGGATGTGCCAAGCACATCCATGTCCAGCGAATGCAAACGTTCCAGAATAGGGTTTTGCGGAATATGGTGGATGCCACTTGGTATGTGCGAAATGGAGATTTGCACAGAGATTTAAAGATTCCATGTGCAGTTGACGAAATTAAAGAAAGGGCGGTTAGACATAGAGCTCGTCTGGGGCAACATGTCAACGTAGAGGCCTCTCGGCTCCATGATATCCGGGATTCTCCTAGAAAGCTAATGAGGACTTTGCCTTCTGATTTAGCGCAAAATGCGCTTTACCAAATCGGGGAGCGTTAAATCTCTTTCAATCTATATTAAAGAAAATCCGATGGTTGCTCTAAGGGGACTAGTATCAGAATATGAGGAGGAGGTTTTTGTGGTAAAACACATAACTAACTATGGGTTGCCAGGGAATGGCATGTTAGTACCATTCATGCTTTCCTCCTTCCTTCGATGAAAAAAAAAAAATTACAGATTAATTTGATCAAAATGCACTAAAATACGGGGTGCGATTGTTAAGTCATAAGTAAATAATGTTAAAGAAAATATTTTAGACGCGAATTACTTTTATATTCAACTAATTCTTCAAAGGAACTATAATTTTAATATTTTCAAATAGCTTAAGAAGCAAACGGGTGACAATCTAACTAAAATCCTTTTGAATAAATATGTATAATTGGATAAAAGAATTCAAATTTATCAAAATGGAAGAATTTTATGAATAAATCTTATGCCAGACACAATGATTGCATCAATCTTTTTATATAACGATTGATCTGTCTAACAGAAATTAATTTCTTCGTGGTTTGACATTTCGTTTAATATAACAGAACAAAACCTTAGATAGAGGCGGCATAAATTTACTCTTTGAAAGGTTAAAGAAGATTACACCCTTGAGAAAAAAATCATTTACATTTCGTTTTGTTTTAAAATTTCCTTATGGAACAATTTTATATTTTCGACGATTTTTCACGAATGCTTATAAAAACAATTCTTTTATAAAATTAAAAAATAACTTTTACTTATTTTGTTTTTTTTGTTTTCCATTTTAAAATCTTGTTGAATTTTTTCTCTTATAAGTTCCTTACCACTTTTTCTTGAATTCTCTTCTATAATGGAAAGAAAAAATATAGAGGAAAGAATGAACCACTTAAAATTACCTTGATGATAAAAAATTAAAAACATAATTACATACATATATATATTATATTTGTGTGCAATGTGCATATTGTGCATTGTAACCAAGTGTAAAATAACAATCAAAAGAAAAGAAAAAACTAAAATACAAATTACATTTAAAAAAGAGGTCAAGGTTTAAAATCAAAGTTTTCATTATTTAATTTTCTTTTAGTTAAATAATAGTAACAGACTATAGTTTAATAGTTTATCTAAACTAGCTTTTGATATATGTACTTTAAAATTGAAGGATAGGCTGTTTGGAGATAGGTAGTTGAGCTCCGGTATGAATGTCTAATGAAATTATTAATAAAGGAAGATGATTACGAAGCAATCGGGAAAAGTCATGCAATTATTAATGTCTGTACTATCGAAAGTTTTGCCTTTAAATTGTTTTTGATGTTAAAACTTTAATAAAATTTAAATTTTTCGTACATTTTATTCTTTTTCATATTATTTAAATAAAAATTTTATTATCTTCTAGTAATGAGGTGGGCTAGAGAGTTTATGAATCAATATGTTGCGAAGCATTTGTATGTGTCCTTTGTTAGGCCAATTCTCGAGTATGAGAATTGGCCTAACAAACAGAAATCAGTTGAGAAATCAGTTCAGAAATTTTTGCGTTTTGCTTTGAGGTGTTTACGCTGATGTTGATTGATTTGCAGTCCTTGGGTTCTCGTAGGGTTGTTGCTGACATAGTGTTTATCCATCAGCTCGTGTTGAGGGCAATTGTGGCTCCTTCTTTGTTGAGGCAGGTTTCTATTAGGGATAACGTAAAGAATCTTAGGTCTGTGGAGTTGTACGTACAATGTTCGCTATCACTCTACTGATTATGGTAGGAATGAGCCGGTTACTAGAATGTTGCGTTTTGTTAATTCTAATTCTTTGGTATTTGATCCTGCTATTAGTAAGGCTAATCTTAAATCTAAACTTTGGTCTTATTTAGTTTTGTAGTATTTTTTTCGTTTCTTCTTGTTCTTGTCTTTCTCTTTCGTTTTGACTTATCTATATTATCTATTTATTGCATGGTGGTTGGTTTTTTTTTCTTTTTTTGTTAATCGTTATGGTTTTTTGTTGTTATTATTATTATTAAGTTGTGCTCGTCATTTATTTTACTTGCCCTTTTGCTCTTCCCTCTTTTTTTCCCTACATATTCCCTACATACCCTAACAGAAAATACTACAGAGAAAATCACTATATAGATGAAGGTCTAGTTATAGCAGTTATTCATTAAGTGTAGACATAAATTGGTTATAAACTGGACTTACTGTACAATTTGTACAAAATATTTTAAAAAATTTCGTCTTGTTCTTAATTGCCGCAGTCGTTTATGTAAGCTTATACAAACAAAACAATATAGAAGGTTTTAATGCCTAATATTTTATATTTTTCTAGCTTTTCAAATTTAGATGAACTAAGCTTAATGATGAAAGAACCGCAACTAATCAAAGAGAGTAGAATTAATTTATTTTTAATTTTTTCGCTAAAAATTCGAGTAAAATAGTACAAAGCTTTATATATTAAACCCTACTAAACATGCCTTTTTCACTATTATCTGGTGGGAGGCCTGACTTTTGCATGGAAAAATATTTTAAATTTCCAATTAGAATAAAGAATTAAGATTAAGATTAAATATTTACAAAATTGTGATGATTTTATAAAATTTTTATAATTATAAGCATATAATATAAAGCGAATCCTTTAATTCCTATATATTTGCAATTGTTCTAAATGTTCTGCTTATTTGAATATCAAACAGAACCCAGCTACGTTTATTTTATCAAACATCCCTTTGTGTTGTTCTTATAGTAAAGAAGAACCAAGTTAAAAAATTGCATGATTGGGGTTCTAAAAAATTTTATTGTAAACACGTGATTTTCTATTTGTTCACATTGGATTTAATACAATTTTTCAAAAATAAAAGTAAGAGGGGACAAATTTTTAACACGATAAAAAATAATTTTTTTTTTTTACAATTTTTTGTAAATATTTCTGTTATTCTTTTTAAGATTTACGGTTTAAAGGATTTTTTATTTCATAATTTAAAAGAGCGCATTGATTTTAGGCAAATGTTTTACAAAACAAATTATGAAAGCATGGTCGTAACATTTCAATTTGCTAAATAACATTGTAATAGTAAGGAAAAAATACCATAACGAGGCCGCTGTTTAAAATGCTACACTAAAACGCTGTACTTGAATATTTTTTTATTTAATATTTTTCTAAATGTTATAAAATATTCTTAAGAAATTGGTGAATTACCTTAAGTTTAACTCGCATTTTAAAAAATTTTGTTTAATTAATATTAAGAAATAGTTTAAACTCGCTAAGATCTTGAATCATATTGAGTCATTACATATATTAAGCTTTGCAATTTGTTAAATTTTTCAAACTGAGGACTTAATATATTTCAAATTTTACATGTCGTTCGTATTGTAAAGAATTTCCTGTAATTATTTTGATTTGTTATTTGAGAAAATAAAACTTGTTTATTGTACAAATAATTTCAAAGGATATTCTTCGAATATTTATGCACAATATACAGCTATGGGATATATATTTAAAAATTAAGTTATTTGCATAAAATTGAAATTATTACACAATTTGCAACTAGAATTTTTTTTTTCCCTCTTTTTTTGATAAAGAGTCATAATTCATAGCCGCGATATATGCAAATATATAAAAATATTTTTTACCATAATTGTGGTATACATACAATAAATGTGTGAATGTTTTTCGTTTTTTGAATTTCTTAAAATAAAAATAACCTTTGACATTGTTTTACTTTGAAAGGAAGGATATAAACTTAAAAGGAATAGCAATATAAGTAAAATCATCAAGATTAAATTCTTATATTTTTATTCTTGTAGTGTTAAGGAAATGTTTATAAGCAATATTCTTAAAACGTTCATATCATAATATCAATTTGGGTTAATTGCTCTCTAAGAAAATTTATTTTTAAGGTCATGTTAGCTTATAAAAAAAAAGGCAAGCGTATTTCATTAAATGTTAGATTTGTAATATTAAAATATTATAAGAAAATAAAAGTAAGATTTTTTTTTTTACTTTTACAGATGAAGATCCTTCGTTTCCATCAAGTGAATTAAATTCACATGGACCTTCTGTTCATGGTTGGAGAAGTTTGCCTGGTAGTACAATTACCCCACATGATATTGTATTAAGATTTCATAAACCGGCACAAATATGTCGAATTCAGGTGTTGGCCCACCAATATTTAATACGTAAGGAATTTATTCAATAATTGTATTGTAAATTTATAAGAATGTAATTAAACAATTATTATACATTTATTTTTTCTATAGCTCAAAAAATAGAATTATGGCTCCATTATTCGCCAAAAAGTATACCAAGTACTCCATCCAGCCAATATTTTGATTTTTTAGGTTTTATAGCACTCTCTGATAATTCAGCAACAAATTATAAATCACGTGAATTACAAAGTGTTACAGTAACACCACGTAAAGGAACACATTTAAAATTACGTTTAAGTTCACCGCATCCAAATCATTTGAATACTGAAAATCAAATTGGTTTAATTGCTGTAAATGTTCTAGGTACAACAATTGAATTACCGCCACCATCAACTTCAACAACATCATCAGTATTACCGATAACAACATCAACATCAACATCAGGAACAACATCAAATACAACAACAACAACAGCAATTGGTGGCAATAATTTAGATACTAATAATGATACAATAACAAATAATTCAAATAATACAACACAATTAAATTCACAATCACAAAATGCACCAGCACCAATTGAAATTCCTATATCTGATACCGGAGAGCCAATATTAGCATCAATCTGTGATGATTTATTATTTAGTATGTATGTTGAAGAGAGTATTGCTGATATTATACGTGAAATGGAAATAAAAAAATCTAAAGCAGTTAATGATGAACGTTTCGAATATGCTAGAAAATTAAAATTATGTATGACAGCATTAAAAATAGCTGGTGAACGTTTAGGACGTTATTCACTTGCTAAAAGGCAAGCAGTACAACAAGAAGATTTTACAACAGCAAAATTACGTAAAGAACAAATTCAAATGTATAGAAATTCTGTATTAAAACATTTACAAGTTGATATATTACTTGAAAAATCTGGTCAACAAAATACTGATAATGATCAAGCATGTGAAATATATGCAAGTAAACCAACACTTCCATCCCCACCAAGTTTACAAGATGTTGCAACAGCATTATCTGAAGCACATTATACAGCAACATTAAGTCCAAGAAGTATACAAGATGATAAATTATCAATAGATGGCGGTAGTATTGGTGGTTTAACAAGTGGTATAATAATTATAACCAGTTTATACTATAATTATTTAGTAATATATAATTAATAATTTAGGAATTATTGTTGGTTCCGATACAACAACAAATCATTCAACAATAACTGGTATACGTAAAAGTCATGATGATATACCAAGTTCACCACGTTTAAATTCAATTGGTCGTAGTCCAAGTCGTGGTATGTCACCAATGTCTAGTCATCAAGGTTCATTAAGACGACGTAATAAAAGTGCCCCAAGAAATAGTTATGAAGATTATGAAGAACGTGCCATACCAACTTTAAGGCAGTAAGTATTTTATGAATTTATTTTTTTTTATAATTTTTGTAATAATTAAACTTTTTTTTTTTTAAATGAGTGTATATTTTACACAAAACAAATAAAACAAAAAAAAAAAAAAAAAGACAACAAAATTGTAAAATTTTTCTATTTACTTTTTTGTAAAATTCAATTTAATTGGGGCATGATCAAAATTTTCCTATTATAACTGATTTGATGTGAAAACAAAATTTCCAATTTCCAATACCAAAATGATAGAATTTTTTTTTTTTTTGTTTTTTCTTAATTTTTAATTTTTTTTTTTAATTAAACTTCTAAATGTTGTAATAATTAAGGAAAATAACGTATATAAACCCTTACAAAAATACATAAATAATATTTGTTTTTTAGTATTTATATACAAAATTAATATTTTTATATATATAGTTAGGTATTTTAATTAGAGAGAAATTATTATTGTTGCAAGGAACACATTCTTTTAGAGTAAGAATTAATCATTAACAACCTTTTAGACAGCACAGAAATAAACATTATCAGAATTAATTAAATATTATTAATATTATTAAAAAAAAAAAAAAAAACTATCCATATTAAAAAATTTAATAATCCTTTTGTTTAATATTTTTTAATTTTTTATTTTAATATTATAAATTTTTACATTTTTTATAGTAATTTTTTTGTGTAGAATATTTTTAGTTTTCTCGTATAATTTTATTTAATTTTAAATCTTATATAATCGTATATTTTATATTAAGAGTACATTCTTAATCCTTTAATGTTTAATTGAATATTTTTGTTTATTTTAATATATTAATATTTTAATATAATTTTATAATATAATTTTATATATATGTATATTTAATTTTTAAATATATTAATATGTGCCAAGATGCATACTAATAAATGAGCATGGTTAATTAATTTAATTATAAATATAAATTGACTTATTTTATATTAAACACTAAATAATTAAAATATGAAAGACTTTGGATTATTTTATATACATATAACAATTAAGACAATTATAATGTTATACATACTAACATTTACATTTTGTTACATTTTCAGTGAAATTTTACTACTCTAATTCTATAATTTTTCTTTTAATTATGCACAATACACACATACCTGACTTCAAAATTGCGCTTACGACGTAAACTTTACCTAGTATCACACTCCAAAAAGTTTAGTAAAAGCTCTTGACATTGTACACTTTTCCTAAATGCATTCTATACGTAGTGGACACGTTAAATAAAAGTAAATTGGGTGTCGAAAAATTCGAGCATGCTTTTCTTATACATGTCATATAAATGTTGCCAGAAACAACCAATTAAATAAACTAGCATATATTTTCAGCAATAAAATGCTAATTATTAAGTTTTTTTTCCTAAAATGCAACATTTAAATTTAAATTGAAATTTTCAAATAAATGTCAAAGTATGTATTAATATTGTAAAAATTGTATTTTAAAATGTATCAAACGCTTTAGCAGTTTTTTCTTACAATATAAAGGTATTGAAAGTTCTGAGACAATAGTACAATCGTATTAATACCGTATACTTAAACTTTTTATAAAGCATTATTGAAGTCACGGTATATTTAATAATGATAATAATTGAATTTATTAAAAGAGATCACATTTATCATTTACTCTGATTGCTAAACCTGGTGTAATTACCCAAAAATTGAAGTACTTTAGATCGGGTAAAACCTCGGTTAATTATTATTTTGGGTATAGGCTTTGGGTAATTTTTAATTTTATGAATTTATATTTAGAAATTTTAAATTTGCGGATAATCAGGAAAAATCTAAAATAAATAAATAAATGTATTTTAAAGATGTAGTATGCTGGAAATTTCTTGGTCAAATTAGTTTTCCAACACGTTGAAAACATAGTAATTAATATAGCCGCCCACACTCAATATTTATTTAAAATCAAAGTTTATTTAAATTTTAATTACTAAATGGTTGATCAACTTGTCCATTAATGATACAACGTGATGAAAACTTGTGTGGATTAATCAAATTGAATAGTAGATGTGCTGCATTATAAGTTTTCAAATATCGGGTACTCGTAATTATGAATTTCCCATTTGGTAACTCTGCTGGTAACGGCTAACATTTATTGAAATAATGTTAAAAAACTATGTTATACATAGGTTTTTACTTAAATAGAAATAAAAAATTAATGAGATCATAATTTATTTCTTTGTGACTGAAAATAATTAATGTCAATGTTATTTTAGTAAACGGGGGAGATGTAAATATGTAACAATTTACATTAGTTCTTCTGTATGTATTTAATTTAAATAATGAGCGAATCGACACAGAAATTTAATGAAAATTATAAATGAGTAGAATTTAATTTATTTAATTAAAATTATATTTAAGTTTTAATTTTTAAAATATTGATAATTTTATATGTAAAGGAAACAGGTCTTAGGCACATAAAAGAAAATTTTTATAAAACTTAAAAGTGCACATTTCATATTTTTCTAATTTTACATATTTAACAATTAATTCGAACCACAATATTTATTTCACCGCAAAATGTTCTTCTAACAGATTCATAAGATACCCAAAAATATACATATTATGTTAAACATATCTACATAATTACGTGTTTGTGTATATACATTCAACATATTAAAATCACCTTAAAAAATTATTTTGTAAATTCATTTAACTTAGGATTTAAAATTAAATTTTGCAAAAAAAATTGTAGTTTCATTTAAATTATTTTTAGATTTTTTAAATATAATTTTAGAAATTAGTTGACCTGTAATATAATTTTATTTTCACTTTAATATTAATTTATGATATTGGCTATTAATTATAATTTACAAATTTTTTCAATATAAAATAATTTACAAATATTAAATTTAATATATAATTTTAATTAATTATTTATTTTAATTTATTTAATAACTTTTTTTTATATAATTTCTTTTATTTTTGTTTTTATAATAGAATGTTAAGGTAAGCATTAAATAATCGAATTATAATTATCATTATTATAACGTATATATAGGAATTTTCATAATTGAGACGCTAAACTATGGGGATTTTAAGTAAAAATTTCAATTACTTCAATTATACATACCTATAAATATCAATAAAAATTAATGTAGTAAGATTTTAATTAACATTCAAAATTTATAATGTGCATAAGGAATACATAAAAAACAAAATTAAACTGAGTTTAAAATTTAAGTGTTGCGATTTTGTTGAAGTGTTAGGCTGTGACCTGTTTAAGACTAACGTGCTTCCGGCGGGGCTTTGTAACTTTTTCGGCAGGAGCTTAGAAATAGTGCTCACCTGAATCGCAATTAAAAAAGATCCTATGGGTCCAGGTAAGAAGGGCAACAGGGCCTTGGTCTCCCACAAAAAAAAACCAATATTGAAGAATACGTAACATAATTGGAATACTTATTTTTTAAACCAGCCTTCCTTATAGTTTCAATATACTTATAGAATTAGAATTCATTTATATATAAGTACATACTTTTCTTTGTAATTCTATTAAAAGCCCTAATAAAATATTACAAATTTTCATTGGCACACCCAAAACAGTTCCATTCAAATTTTGCACATTTTTGGTCTCATATATACAGGATTTAAAATATTTTCCATTAATTTTTATTTTGTTTCTAATCAATAATTAATGTAATATTAAAATTTAAATAATAAATAAAAAAAAATATTATATTAATTTTTTATTTAAAATTTTAGTTTTGGTAATATTATTGGCATCTCTACAATTTTATCGAATTCATTTGGAACCTATGGTGATTAGTCGGACGCATTTTTTCACGAATTGAAAAATTCATCTTACAACTTTTGGATGAAATATTTTATGACAACGACCATAAAAAATTAAAGATTTTCATATAACAAAAATTTTGTAATAATTTTGAAATATCTTAAAGCATGTCGTAAAATAAAAACACCATAGGTTCCTTATTCAAAACGAAATTTTAACTAACTTATTGTTTAATATTTTTAATTTTGCAAATCCCTATTAAATATTTGAGTTTTTAAACTAATTGGTTTTCAATCCTCGTACTAGGAAGCACTTTTTATATTTTATATAAAAAATAGAACACGTAATACATGAAATACACACAACACAATCGTCCAATATTGATTCGTTTTACATTCATTTTATAATAATAAAAACTTAATATACACACACACAAATTAAGGATTCGACTTAATAAAGTTTCCTTCTTTAAATTCATTTGAAAGTTAATTTCATTATAATTTTAATTTAACATTTTCTGCATTTAATAAATTAAAAATCTCATAGCATTTGAGAACTACATAATATTCGCAAAATTTATTTGACAATAGCGAAAATAATTACAAATTTACGAAAACTAACAGAAAGTTGCTTTAAAATGAACTGATTTCAGATAAAGATTGATGATGACTCATAACTATAGTGCTACAACTATCAAATAAAGATAAAAAATCTAGTTTCATTTATTAAACTTTTCTTTTCCTTTTAATTTTACTAATATTTTAGAATATTCTATTTATACTACATATTAGAATTCTCTAAAATCTTATATCTTATACTATAACTATTCTATACTAAGCTTTTTAAATTTTGCTTGGCGGCATGTTTAATTGTTGTTCTGTTAAAGTAGACCGAAAATTTTTTTTTTCTTGAAACAAATTTTCAGTTCACATACTAATGAATTTTTAAGGGAATGTCAGGGTGCTGCATTAATCGAAAATGATCGGGGTCGTTCACGTTTAAACGATCGTGAACGACGTCAAGCAGCTTTACCAATTTTAATATTCGGTACTGATTTGGTAAGTAAAGCAATACAGTTTTATGATTCTTAATATATATTTAATAAAAATTCGTTTAAATTTTTCTTAAAGGTTGAACAATTTTACTCTCGTCAATTTCAAGATCGTGAAGATGGTCTTGCTAGACTTCGTTCATGGCTTAAAGGAAAAGAAGGTGATTGCAGTTCTGGTCCTAATAAAATAGCACGTAGCGCTGCACTTCTTCTTCATCGGGCTGTTCGTGATGCTGTTTACTCTGTATTTAGTCAAGCAACAGAGACTGTTCGTGCATTATTTTTAGAATTTGTACCAGGTCGTGTTTCAGCAAGTGAAGTTGCAAGATGTGTTGATAGATTATTACCAGAATTATTAGCAAAAAGTGGTGATCCATCGGCAAGAATTCATACATTAGCACAACATACTATATTAAGTATAGCAGCATGTCCAGAAGTACGTGAACAACATTTAGTAGCTCCTGCTTTATCACGTACAGTTGGCTCAGGTACACATCCAAGATTAGCTTTAAGTCGAATGCAAATGTTAGAACAATTAGTTCTAAGTCAAGGTATTAGTACAGATAAACATAGTGGTTTAACATGCAGAGCACTTTCAGAATGTGGTTGTTCTGGTATACATCATCCAGCTGAACCAGTTCGAAAAGTTGCTGAACGTATCCTATTATTAGTTTATAAAGTTAATCCAAGATTAGTGAGGAAACAATTACCTCCAGATGACGATATAACAAGACGAAATTTACTTTATCGACAATTATTTACTGAATTTGATAAATTGGATATGCAAAGAAAAAAAGAAATGTTAGAAGCTAATAAAACAATAGTTGGTTTAAATGATCCCATGTCACCATCATCGCATAAAAGTGATAAGGATCGTGGATCACCATTTAGTAGTACAAATGGTGAAGGAAAATCTTCAATGAGAAATGTTCACTATGATAGCCATCAAAGTACAAGAACTCCAGAACCACATTCAAGTCCAATGAGACGTTCTGAAACAAGAATATTAAAAAGTAAAAGTGGCACATCTTTACATGGTAATAATGGAATTGATAGTAATGGTGTAAATACACCAGCAAGAGCATGTAATGGAAAACAGGATATTTATAGTGATAAAATCAAGAAATCATTAACAAATTCTGAGAGAAGCTCGAATTCAAATTCCGAATCATTAGAAGATTCCGATGTTATGTTAGTAAAAATATTTTTAATGTAGAATATGTGAAAATAATTTTTTTTCTCCAAAAAAAATTCGTTTTTAGACGGTGCCCATTCTGTAATTGGAGTTGTCACGGTGATCAAACTCAATTAGACAAACATTATTGGAAAGTTTGTCCGTTCCTAACAAAATGTCCTCAATGCAGTCAAGTTTTAGAAGTTGCAGCATTAAATTATCATTTAACAAGTATAAAAATGAAATTATGTATTAAAAAAATTTTCCTATATATTTTATTTGCTTTAGATGAATGTGAAGCCAAAAATAGTTATGTTACTTGTGAAAGATGCACTGAATCAGTTCATAAACAGCTCATGGATTTGCATATGATGGAAGATTATTGTAGAGGTAATTTAAATAAAAATATTTTATAAAAAAGCGTATAAAAATTCAACACTTACATTTTAATTTAGAACTTAAAACTGGAGCAGCACGATGCCCTTTATGCCATGACGATGTCAATTTACCATTGGATGGTGGATGGAAATTACATTTGCTAACATCATCTGGATGTCCTGGAAATGCTAGACGTCGTTCAAAAATGTAAAATGACCTCAGAAATTCAAGAAAATAAATTTAATACTAAAAGAATTTATTTATTATTAAAATTTAAATAATTAAATTAATATTTAAAAAAAATATTTTCTATACTTATATTACAATAAAAAAAAAAAAACAAATTTTTAAAAATTATAAAAAAAATAAACAAAATTTAATAATTATGTAATTTAGCATAAAAATTTGAAATTATATAAAAATAATTCTTGCCTTCTAAAATTTGTGCAATTCATCAAATAAATAAAAATGAAAATATTAATTTTTGTTATTGAAATGCTAAAAGAATAAAAAACTTTGCATTAACAATTATTACGATTTTTTTTTAGTTATAATTAGTAACATTTTTAAGTATTTTAATAATTTTTAAATAAAAATTATAATTTTAATAACAAGGGTAAATTAAATGCTATATTCGAATTCTTCAATTTAATTATTGTTATTCAAAATTGGTGTATTATTAAAATACACGAATAACAAAATTCCTTTGAACTAAAGATCATTGAAATGAATTCAAAAACAATTGTTAAAATGCTTGTACTAGATACATATGTGAATTTGGACAAGTAATAATATTAATATTATTAATTTACAATGTTTTGTTATACTATGTTTTATTTATAATTATTTATATTGAATTATTGAGCGATTCTTAATTATTTAAGCCAAATTTGGAAAAAGCGAAAAAGTTTCTTTACATTCACTGGTTTACATTTTCCTATAGTTTTCCATAAATCATAAAAAATTCATTTGCTAACAATTTCCGAAAACAAAACGTTAGTCTACATAAGCTTTCAAATTAAAATTTAAGTACTTTGAATTTACCTTTATTTATTTTATTTAAAAAAATTATGAAATATCCATATTATTTATTTATTATTTATGCACAAATTTTAACAAAATAAAATTTAATTTTCAAAAAAAAAAACCCAAAATTACTTACAGATTAATATTTTAATTTAAAAATCGTACAGTTAATACAAAATTGGAAATTTATATAACGAAATCATATAAAATCAATAATTAAACAAATATTATGAATAAAATTTAGAACCATTCCGAATTGAAAATTAAATAAAAATATAGTGAAATAATATTTAGCATGGTTAAAAATAGAAAATTTTAGAATGGGTTAAATATTTAAAAAAATTGTAGAGAAGAAAAAAAGACGTAAAAAAAAAACAGGATTATTAAAAATAAAAATGAAAATAGAAATGAAAATAAATTAATTACAAAAAAAAAAAAATTAATAATTTCATAAATTTATTTTTAAAATCGATTTTCCTATTTTTTTTTTTGTTGTTAAAATATGAATACTATAATAATAATAATTTTGATGAATTAAATTTATTTTATTCTTTTAAATTTAATTTTTATTAAAATTTGTTAAAATTTTTATTGTTAATTCTTTGTTACAACTAATAATTAATTCTCATTTAAGTAATTAAATTAATTAACCGAAAATTATATAAAAATATCAATATAATTTTAAAAATATCTGTTTCTTTTTTTAGCATTAACTCATGTTATTTCAAATATCTTATTTTTTATTTTAAATAAGTTTTTCATTTGAAATTATATGATAACTGTTGATCAAAAATGTTATATATACCTACATTCTATTAGAGGCATCACTCGAATTCCAGAATGAAATCATTTTCCAATAATAATCCTTGAATTCAAGTTATGTATCTAAAAAAATATAGGTGCTTTTAATTAAATATTAATTTAGAAATTTATTTATTAAAGGTGTATCAATTTATTTTTTATAATATCGAAATCCGTACGAAACAAGAAAATTATTAAAAATCCATACATTGAATGTGACTATGATTTTTGTAACATACCGATGAATATTTAATTATTTTAATTTTTTATTTCGAATATTTTGAAAAATGTACCATATTTACTTACAAAAAAATTAAGTCTCTTTTTGAACTATAAATATGTTGCCTCTATTTCATCAAAATATTTGTAAGATTCTTGATTTAATTGGACATGAATAACACCAAACGAACTAAAAAAAAAATAATAAAAATAAAAATTATTAAAATATAATTTTAATATTTTAAAAATATTGTTAAAATGAATTTTATATTTTCCTCAAAAATATTTTTATATTTGAATACGTATAAATTAAATAATTGTAGTTAAGTTTTCTTGAAATCAATTGATATTTTAGGAGAATAATCCAATCAAAAATCAATAAATCAATTGTTTCTAATTGTTTCTTTTTTTAAATTAATTAATATATTTTTTATAGTGAATAAAATAGTAATGCGTTTATTAAATTTATCATTGATATTATTTAAAAAAATTTAAATTAAAATCGAAATATACACTAAACATTTTTATATTAATTAAAATTTTTTAATATTATAATTAATTTTAATTATTATATAATTATAGGAATATAATGACCATTATAATGTTAAGGGTTTTGTTAACGTTTTTAAATTTTCTTTTTGTTTTACATAATTAGTACTATATAACTACCTAATCTCTACTTTGTTTGTTTTTTAATTAATTATAATTATTTAAATATATTAATAATTAATAATAATGTACGTCTTTGTAATAGTTAATTTGAAGCTCTTGTTAATTAAATTAAATTTCATTGTTTTCGTTTTTTTGCCATTAACAAAATATTTTTAAAAATAAACTTGTATTTAATACAACAATTATAATTAGTATATTAAATAAGAAGTTAATTAAAAACAATTTTGTAATTAGAATTAAATTTAATTATGTAATTATGTTTTGGTAATATATGTTAACTGTTTAAGTATTTAACACGTCCTCGATTATGAAAAATATAACGAAACCCATCCATTTCATTAAATTCAAAAATAAAATACATACAAGAGATACTCATTTAGCAAAAGAAAAAAAATTAAAAGAAAAAATTAAAAAAAAAAACCAAAAACTAACAAAATATTGAATAAAAATAATGTGAAAATTAATTGATTTTTTTAATAATTTTTAAAATAAGTTATAAAAAAAATTGTAGGTTCCTCTGATGAAGCATTCACTCTGAAAAAACAAAACATGTTCAGTTTCTGTGCCTACCATGCAATCTTCATGATATACATACGTATGTACATTCATCCATTTAATTATTGGTTACCTCAGCTTTTTATTGTTTCTAATTAATATTATATTGTGTGAATGTATCCATTGATCTATTGATCATATCGTTAATTAGACAATTAGATGTTTCTGATTCCCTATATTATATGTACATATGTATGTGCTTACATATAAGCAAAGCATTTTTCAATTTCTATTATTCAGTACTGTTTGGCTACATCAATACAAAATTTCGAGGCACAAATGTGACAATTTTGACTGCACAAATGAGATTAAAATATTAAAGCCAATTTCTGGTTAAACTTGCGATTTTCAATTTGAGAATCTCACTTATTATTCAACTTTTATAAAGTTTTCAGATATGTATACCTGCAAAATTTTGGTAGTGTAACACTAATGTGTACATACATATTTGATTTTATTAGATAATATAATTATAATAGATAGGTACTTACATACCTAAGCACCCAAGATACTTATAGGTTATATGGATCAACTAGTTTTATACTTTTATCTTTTTACGTCTTAAATGAACTTGAATGAAACACAGGAATTGCAACTGCAAATGTAAAATGAAAACAAGACAAGAGACTATTGATTTACAAACTATTACCAACTATGTTTATATGTAGGTACATATGTATTTATTTTCAAATATTTCATTTTATAATTTAGTTTAAATTTATTTTATATGTACATATGTATTATATACTTTTATTTTCAAGTAAATTATATTTTATCGACAGCCAATAGCAGAAATATTCAAACTTTAATTTAAATACAAAATAAATGATAATTTACAGTTTTATATTCGAAACTGATTTTTGTTCATCCCTGACTGAAAACATGTAATAAATTATTTTCGAAATATCAGTTGTCATTTTAGAAGTGACATTTGACATTAGAAGTTTCAATTTTCGTCAACCTATCTTCTCAAAATTATACTGCCTTAATATTTTAAAACTTTAATTAACCAAATATTTGAAGAAAGTTAAAAAAAAAATGTCTGTACCAATTCCAGGCATTACAACTCATGCTCGACAAGTATGTAGCTTGTATAAACGAGCTCTTAGAAATTTAGAGGCATGGTATGATCGTCGGTAAGTTTGTTTTGGAATTCTTACATAAGCAGAAGTATTTAAGTCATTATTTTTTATAAACATCTAGATACATATTTCGTTATCGAGCTGTATTACTAAGGCAGAGATTTGAAGAAAATAGAAATGTTACCGATATAAGAGCTGCTAGTCAGTTATTGGCTGATGGAGAAAAAGAACTTTTTGAAACTCAACATTGGCAACCAAGAAAATGTAAATTAAGAATTTATACATTGCATCTTAAAACAAAAATTATAAATAATTTTTTTTATATTTTAAGTTGCTGGCAGTCCAGGAGGATGTGCTTTTCAACGTGAAGTAATTCCTCCAGATTGGATTCTAGATTATTGGCATCCATTAGAGAAAGCTCAATATCCAGAATATTTCAAACGTAGAGAAGAACGTAAAAAAGAATTTGTTGCTTGGTGGGAGAAGCAATATGGTAAACATAATCCCGAAGATTTGCATCATTAAATTATTAATTGTTTATAAAAAAAAAAAGTTATTTGAAAACGAAATTAGGAAATTATATTGATTAATATAAAAATAAAACAATTATTTTAGTTGCTTTTATTTAATTTACATTATGTTTTATATGCCATTCGGAAGACACTTGAAGAACATATGTATTTAAAGTACAATAATTAATTGAATTAGTAAAAAGTAAGACTTTATGGAATATTTCGTGTTTTGTTTTTTCGAATAACTAAATATTATATACCTATCTAACTTATCTTTTTAAATGCCTACATTAATGTGATAAAAAAAATTTGAAATTTTTCTTTATGTGGTTGCAAACAAGTATAATAAATTTTTAGCAAATTGTATAATTTCATTGCCACCCAATTTCGATTCTCCATAAACACGATCAACAAATGTTATTGGAATTTCACCGATTGTATAATTGAATTGTCTTGCTCTAACCAACATTTCCATTTGAAAAACATATCCTTTTGAAACACAACTTGCAATTAATTTTTCTAATACATCTTTTTTATATAAACGGAATGAACCAGTTAAATCAGATGCATTTGGACGTAATAGTAATTGTGAAAGAAAATTAGCACCACGTGATATTAATTTTCTTTTGAAATCCCATCCATAAACACCACCTGATCCACGGTACCTTGTACCAGAAACAATGTCATATCTTTTGAAAATTTGTAATTCAATTAGTTGTGGAATAAATTTTGGCTAGAAATAAAATAAATGAATTATAATTTTAATATTTTTTTAATATGAAGACTTTAATCCTTACATGATGACTTAAATCCGCATCCATTATAATTATAAAATTCCCAGTAGCATGTTTTATACCATGAATGTATGCTGTTCCCAAACCTAATTTTTTTTCTCTTGGTCTTAAAACTATTTTATCTTCTCCATAGATTTTTTGTAAATCTTTTGCCACCTCTAAGGTACCATCCGGACTGCCATCATCAATTACAATAACTTCATAATTATATTCTCTACAAAAATTTATTAGAATTGATAAGCAAATGATTTTTGGCAACAACACCTATTTACTTTTATCAGTAAGAAATGACATATTTATGTACATGTATAAACATATTTACCCTTCATCCATATATTTTACAATCAACCAAATTATAATTGGCAAATTGTCTTTCTCATTATAAGTTGGAAGTAGAATAGTATATTTATTATTGTTCACCATTATTATTAAGAGACTTGTTTTTTATAATTTTATTTAAAAAATCAAACAATAATTAATCTTGCAACGTAATTGAAAATTTTCGCAAGAGTTAAGAAATGCATGCAAAAATGAATGTTTTCAATTCGATTATGTATGTTTGCATTTATAGTTGTCAAGTAAACTTCGAAATATTTACGTACCTGCATACTTATAAAAATATAAATGATAAGTCGACTCGAATTTGTTTTAAATTCTACCTCTGATTTTAGGTGCTTTATTATACTGACATCTGTAAGACATAATTTCAATTAAAAAATGCACTGAAATTTTCAGTACCAAATTATATCAAATAGAACCAAGTACATAAACCATAAATATATTTGAAAGAAAAAAATGTATGTAGTTTTATTTTTAAATTTCTAGAAATTTATTAAATCATTCGAAATTTTTTAGTATTAAAAGTGTGCTATGCGTAAAACTTCAAAAAGCAAATGAAACGAAAGTAAAATGAAATTTTTGTGGTTTGTGTCTGTAAAATAATAACGAATACTTAATATCTACGATATTTATTATTTTCGATTTTTCAAAATTGTATACAGCGCCAAATGCTATATTTATTTGACAAATAAAACTAAAATATTCCGTTGCCAAAAAATTTAAGAATTAAGCTTAAGCAGTCATAAAATGAACAACGGAATGGCGTACATTTGGAAAATTATTTAATTTTAATTTCACATTTTTCGGTTTCTTGGAAAATAAAAATTAATTATGCACAAAAAAGTTTAACTAAAATTTGGATATAAATGGATAGTACGTTCCAGCACTATTAAAGTACGACCACAAAGAAACCTTCCATGGAATAAAATGCTGCTTTATTTTAACCTGGAAATAACTAACCGCAATTGATCATAAATTTCAAGAAGAATTTTTCATATGTACATATATGAGGCTAAGTACATACATATTCCGATTACAATAAATTTGGATGAAGAAAAGAAGAAATTTCGATGTTAAGGGTTAAAGAAGATTATATAAGTACATAGCTATTATTATTCGATGGCAAGGGTCAAGATGTTAAGTTCAAGCTTAACTATGAGAGGTTTGTATATGCAATATTTTATCAAATTTATTTGAATAAACAATTTACATTGTTTGAAATCCTACATAAACTACTAGATCGAAAATTTAAGCTTATGCGTTTTGGTTATCTTTAACATCTTACAAAGACTTTTCTGTGATACAAATCAAATTAGATTTATTAAAATCTTATCGTAATATAGCGGTAAAAAATAATATTGCTCTTACGTAAGTTGTTAGGTATCTCCCTGATTGGTTTGATTTGATTAGCTATGAACTCTTATGATTTCTGAGACCCTGTCTATATTCATACTACCTTCTTGCAATAAAATTTCATTGTTCTCGGATTTGTAATATTTAGTATTTCATTATCTCCAGCTATTATCAAAATTTATGTGACTAATACATCATTCAAGATACTCGAGCTACCTACTTAAAATATAATTGCACTTTCAAGTAGTTATTGTAATATTAATAGCTATAATGTAGTTAGGTACCTATTAGATACTTAATATTAGGAAACAAATTTTTTTAAATATTCTACCTTAAGTGTGTCACGTTCAAGAATGGATTAAATAATTAGTATATGTAGATATAGAAATTCATTATAAACCATGAAGGTATTTGTACCCACTTGATTCTGTCGAACCAAGTAAAAAGATTTTTTAAATAAAAATTAATTTGATCCTTTATTTTAATACTCTATTGTAAAATAATTTTTACAATATGCATTTTTTTCATACATCGTTTTTATGTACATTGTGATTATGATATTATATTATGTAATGTATATTAATATGCCCGAAAACTTTGAATTTTTCCATATAAACTTCTTAAAGAACCCCAACTTGATAAAATTATTGTAATTATTGTAAATGTTCTCATCATATCAGCAAAATCTGGTTCAACTTTTCGTTTAAAAAAACCTGTATCATAACCATAATACAATGCTGACATACCGGCTAAGAATGCACTCAAACCGATAACATTATGGAAAAATTTATTGATTAATGGTGTTATAAAACGTTTTATTTCTATATTGTATAAAGTACAAATACCACTAATCATGCTAATTGCTGATAATATCATTGCTACCAAACCTAAAATTAGATCACAAAAGAAATAATCATTAACACAAACAATGCTCATTTTGTATTGAAAATGTAATTATAAGAGAAATGATATTTAGGGAGGTAGGTAACTAGGTAGCATTTTGGTTTCAAATTTATAATATTAAAAAGTTACCAGCAATTCCATGTGATGTAGTGAAATGTGTTGTTTTATCAACAATTTTTACAATACTTCCAGCGATTCCTAATGTACCACCAAATGCTTGTAAAATCCAATGTGTTGTTGTTTTTGTTTTTCTCTGCATTGTACTTAATAGTATATTTCCTTTGAAAAATGTCATCATAGCCTCAGCCATAAGAAGATTATACTAGAAGAATATAAAAAAGTTTTATTAATTTTATGATAATTTCTATATTTGAATTTTAATGAAAAAATAAATGAAACTTTTAGGGAAATATTAGATTGATGAAATTTGAAAAATTTGGATACCCCTATATTATCAAATTGTTTACATTCTTTCTGGTAGCTCTTAGAAATTACTTGACTTTAAAAATGCTGTAATACGGTCTTGGTAAATATTTTAGAAATTAGGAATAGAATACCTGAATTGTGTATTTATACTGAATTACAACAATTTTAAAATTAATGTTAAGCTACATTATTAAAAAATAATTTAGTAATTGATTCTGAATGTTAATGAATTAACGCGCTGCCTAATAATTTATAATGGGAAAAATGTTTTCAAGCATAAAGATAAAATGATTATTTTAAAAGCTCTATAGGTATAATTACAATTTTTGATTTTAATCAAATTATAAATTAAAAAAATTACTATTATTATAAACCATTATTTAATTGTAATATCCTCAATATTAAGTAGCTACTAAATTAAATAACACTTATTTTGGGCACTTTAAGTTCAATTATTCAGTGTTTATTTAAATTTTGATCTTGTCTGTTTTAGTTCTAATTATAATTTAATTATTTTGAAATATTTCTTGTATTTGAAGATGTGTTATAGCTTATTTTTCTTAAAATATTTTAATAATGATATCGAAACAAAAGTTTTTTTTTTTTTTTTTTTTTTTTGTAGCGCACTTTCAAATAATTGATTAAATGGGTTTACAATTACAAAGAAACAAAAAATTTAAAAATTCAGATTATTTAAATGATGCACAAAAAATGACGCATAATTGGATTGGATGTATTAATTTATTTAGACTGTGAGAATGATAGAAAACTGACGGAATATATGTAATAGTGCTTGTCGGTTACTCAAAACTTGTTCGGTTAATATTTAAAATATTGTCAACTTACTCCCAGTGTACATAACCAAGCATGTAATGCTGTTTTTTGTAAATTTAAATGCAAACAGGCATATGTCATATAAATTGAAATAAAACTTATTAACATATGATTTATTAAATTAAATCCAATTTCTATTTTCTCTATAAAATTCGTTGTATCACCATTATTTCTTAGATCCATATTTTGTTATTTTTTTCAATTCTAATTTTTATAGCAAAAATTCACTTAAAGAAACAGTAATTTCTTCTATATTATATTGAAATATAAAAATAAAATTTTTCAACAATTATTCAATAAAAAAATATAATATAAAGGTGCTTTAATTCAATTTAAATAAGTACATTATAAATATAATTAAATAATGAGAACTTTTATTAGATTTATTTTACAAAAAAACTTGTATGCATCACAGCTGATTTTCTACTGAATTCTTATTATAATTTCATGTTTAATTTAAAGGGGAGTCTTTTTTTTTTGCTGTATTAAAATATTAAGCTTTAAATTTCTTTCCAGTTAATATTTTTAGTTTGAAGTTATCACTGTTTATAAACAAAAAAAAAGAAAAAATATAAAATAAAATTAAAATAATTTTTGTTATTAAAAAGCAAAATATAAAAAAGCAATGATAATTTTAAAGTTTTTTTTTCTTATTTTTGATATTTTATTATATACCGGCAATATTAGTTAGTCTCGTATTTTATAATTCAATTTGACAACAACTAAACATGAGCTTTATTGTAGTCGTCATTATTTTTTAATACAAAATTGTATAAAAATAAAAATTACATAGTTTGTTCATGAATTTATGAACTCCTAATAAAAATTTAAACTTTCCAGTAATAAAATAATCATTCCAGCAAAACAAGAAAGCTTAAACTTTCTTTAAGATTTAGTCATTCATAAATAATATGAACAAATTATTGATTAATGATTAAATTGAATTTTTTGCTTAAAGAGAATTTTTATAGTATACATTTTTATAGCCTGAAATATTGGTAAATAACTTTTTAACAAAATTTTTAATAGATTTGTTTAGAGTTTCTAAATTTAATATTAAAAAAAACATTAAGAGCTTTAATATTTGTACTCGCAGATATTACGATTTTAGTTTGTTGAATTGAAATTTATAGTGTAGTTTGAATTCTTTCAATAGCATAGATTTTAGAAAATAAAATTAAGATATTTTTTATTTGAGGTGTATGTACTTTAAACTAAAAAATATTGTTATTAGCTGATGCAATATTTATTATCAAGTAACTATATTGAAAAACTTCAACTTCAACTCGCTAATTACTGCGCGGCGTAATTATCCATTGAAGAATTCCACTGATTACATATTATCTTATATTATTTGTATTAAGGCCATACCTTAATCGTTTTAGTTTTCTATATGCCAAGACATCTCCTTCTTCAGTTGGCTCATTTATATCTCGGTGCATAAAGCTGTTCTTCATGTACAATGACAGATCCACAATTTTTAAAAGCATTTTGTTTTGCATCATTAGAATTATATTTAAGTTTGTTCTTTTATTTTCTGGTAACTGGAAATAACTGGATTCAATAATGCCATATGATTTAAATATTTGATTATTTGTATATGCATACGTTATAACGATATTTTGTTTAATTTTTTTCTAAGTCGACATTTAATTTATTAGTGAAATTAACATGATTTGATTCCAATTCATTTAACTGGATCTTAATTTCTACGTTTATTCATAAAATTTTTTTATACTTTTCTGTAATTTATATGTGCTTTTTTCAATTTTGTTTTCATTCCAACTGGCAAAATACCACTGCCGTCTGCAAATGTAATAAAGTTGGTTTCTTCATCTGGCAGCTTATCATTTTTGTATAAGGGATACAAAATAGGTTGCAATATATTTCTTTAAGGAATTACCGCTCTTATGTTTTTTAATTTGGAGTTCTCATCGTTATGTTTGACACGAAAGCTTATTCGAAAATCTCGCTTTATCCCGTTAAACTTATAGTTTAATAAATTGTATAAAAATTCACTATTGGAAAAATTTGGAGTAGTGAAATGCTGAATTTTGTGAATACTTATATTCAACATTCAGACATAAAAAAAAGCAGTTCTGCAACATGGTCTATTTTAAATTAACTATTGATTTCAATTAATTTTATCATTAATTGATTAGCTATTGATTTTAATTAATTTTATCATCTAAATTTTTTATTTGAGGACCGGTCAATACATTCAATTATTATTCTTACTTTTGCATGCTTTTAAATCTAACACGTTTTCAGTTAGAAGCTTCCTGAAGCTTAAAACAACTCCACTTACAAATTTTAATATAGATTACAAAATACTTTTACAAATTCATAATACCTTATTCACAATATCATATTTTTATGCCAAAACGTAATGTGATATGAATTTGCAGTACACGTGCGTATTTCATATCATATGAAAACATATCTATCATACAGTCTATCTATATAATAATGTACAATATACATTATATTTAATTTTCCATCTCAGATCAAGCTGCATTATTCCATTTCATTTGAATTAAACAAACATATTAATTCATTTAATTTTTTTTTTTCTCCAATATTTAAATGAACTTTCACTTTCAATCAAACAACAATCAAAATATAAATACAATATAAAATTATAATTAGATCAAAAACAATGAAAGAATATTGTATAATAAAAAAAAATTGCGATCCCCGGCGAACATACACTATTTAAATTGTGTATGGAAAAAAAAATACTATCAATATTATAACAACAATTTAAAATAATAATAGAATCATAAGAAATTAAGGAGGTGAATTGAAATCATCAATGAAATTGAGTCATAATATTAAATTATATATATATCTATACTACATTATAGAAAGTTCAGCGGTTAACGGAATATTTTAATGCTATTTAAAATTGTTAAATATAATTTTATACATTCTTTTTATATTCATACATAGTACTTGTATCCACTAGAATATTTGTTTTCATTTTATTTTGTATTTTACTTCTTTATTTCATTCATATTTGGGCAATCTTATCAACGAATATCAATCGGTTTATGAATTCTGTTGATGAACCTGAAATTTATAAATGAAGTTTTTTAATTTTAATTTATTTGTTTTTAGAAATCTAACACTTTCAATAACCAGTTTCTCGAACCTTAAGAAATTATATTCATTTAATTGTAAAATTAATACTGGAATTTATTCTTTTAATTAAAGGTTTGTGTTGGAGTCGAATTTTGAACCCATTAAGTACATAGAATGTTATGTATAGAGAATCAGGCATTATGGCTAAAGTACTCATTAAAGTAATCATTAATCAATAATTTGTTACTTGACCTAAATATATTTTTTCAATATTTTCAAATATTTTGTGGTGGTCATTTTTCTGTCATCAAGAAGAAGCCATGCACACACTTTCTATGGATCAAGGCTCCCTTTTCTTCCAGAGATTGTATTATAGTTTCCTCCTACTTCCCACATAGGTTCAGATAGCAGATACTTTGACTTTCCAGAGCCTATATTCTTGGATGCTAACTTAATTTTGGAGATTCTTGTTTAGTTCTAACCCATTTATTCTTTTCCAAAATATTAATTAAATTATTTTATTTTCAATTTTATTGACATTTATTTTAAATTGACCAATATTTTTTTTTATAGCAAAAACAAAAAATTTAATTAGAAAAATTCTTTCTAAAAACCGCATTAAGTATGAAATTTGTAATGTTTTTTGTTTGTTTGTTTTTCCTATTCTTAGCTTTTATTTTTATTCTTATTTAAATTTTCAATCGACAATAAACAGATGTTCATAGTAGTTTTTTTTTAACATCTAATAAAGTTATAATTTGACAAACTTAGATTTAGTTTTGTCAATTTAGATTTGACAAAAGAAAAAAATAGAAAAAAAGAACAACAGAAGAAACAAATGAATAAAAAACAAAGTAAATTAGTTGTTTTTTAATATTGTCTTTTTGTTTTTGTTTTTAAATTCGGACACAAGAGAGGTTGCATGCCTATATTCTTTTAGTTTTAAATCTAGTTTTTGATCGTAAAGCGTGCTATAAAGTCGTTAAAATTTTTTTATTACTTGTTTTTCCCCAATTTTTTAGTGTTGTAAAACATTGAAAATTAATTGTAGATTTCAATTTAAAATATTTATTTATTTTGTTTTTATATTTTTATTTATTTGTTGTGTGTTTTGTACATGAGGAATAAAAAAAATTTTCATCTTATATGTAAATTTAATTTCGTTAGTTGTGGGGAAGGCGAATAATAAAGAACCCCAAAAGATTATTTAAGAAAGAATAAAGTATTTAGAGAATTTAAATAAGTAAAGATTAAATTTCTAATAATTTTTTTTTTTTTGAAATTCGATTGCGATTATTTTAGTTCTGTATTAGACAAGAATATTAAAATGTAATTAAATCTATTTTTTCTTCAGTTACAAAGAATGTGATAATAAAATAAAAAAAATCTATCAAAATATTTTTCGCCTATAAAATTATCTTATTAATATAAAAAAATAAATTCAGTTATTTGTTAAAAATTTACTTAACACTATACTTATTTGATAAATATTTGTGAAAAATGATTCTAAGGTAAGAAACTTTAAGAAAATTTGTTACACGTATATGAGTAAAATAAAGAAAATACTTTAATATTTATCGATTAGTCAAAATTTTTAATTAGAGTATTTTTAATTAGAGATTTTAGATTAGTTGAATTTTAGTTAGCGTGATTCACACTCTTCCTAGGAAAAAAACAAATAAAAAATTATTTTTTTCCCAATGGCTTTCAGGGAGACGAGTTTGAACTAACAATTTTGAAACCATTAAGGTTTCAATTGTAAACAAGTGCTTGTACTGAGGACTGTGATCCAACATTATACCATTCATTTTCATATGATATTAATTTTTATTATAAAAACTTAATTGCTTGTCTGTCTTACTGGCATTTTAAATAAAAAGGAGAGAATTTTAACTCGCTTATAAAATGAGTTAAGGTGAACGGAGAGTTACTGTTTTAAAAACATTATAAAAGACAATATGGTATATATACTTTATAGAAGTATATGGTATTTACGGACTTCTAGTCTTGAATTTTGCTGGTACATATGTATGTATACCAATCGTTTCGAAAGGGTTATTTAAAGAATTATTTAACTATGCAACTTTTGGATTTTGCTT